AAGTCACTTTAGCTTCCAATTCACTGCAGCAGAAATAATCACTGCAGGCCCGTGATCTAATCATGATGTCAAATGTTTAATAAATCATACTGAATCATTATAGCCACCGGTGAGAACTAACGCCTTTCCACAGAAGAGTCAAGTTCAACCATCCGTTCCCAGATTCGACCACAGAATGTATGCCATATTCCTGTAGCAACTCTGAGTGCATACATCATATGGAAAAGTTTCAATGAAGCCTATTTTCTGTGTAATTAATATGCAATAATAACATTAATTTTTAAAAATAATCATTTGCTCCAGGTTATACAGCAGGCGACCTGGGGGAGCTAGTGAATTCTGCTGAATGAAATGCAGAACTCATGTCTTCTGCTACTGTTCCCTAGATCCCAGAGGAAGGGAGAGGGGAATCAGAGTTTGGAGAGGTGTGCAGTTCCAGCAGGCTGAGTCAACCCAAATCTAAACAACCAAAGGCAGAGGTGCAGGGCAGGTAAGCACCAAGTTCAACGGAATGGTTCAGCCCAATGGACCTCCTGGTGATAGGGCTTAATGATTTAACAGCTAAGGTATTTACTGGCAGGAGGCAGGTGACTTCCCGGCCCCGAGATTTGCAGCCAGTTATTATCCAACCTCCCTGTGCCTGGACCCTTTACATGTAGTATGGAGATGGCACCGCCATCCCCTGCCGTGATACTGTAAGGTTTAAAGCGGTGACTGGCAATAAACGCTGCCCAGCCTGCCTCATACGAAATGCTCAACAATTAGTCCCTTTGCCGATTATCAGCTCATCCCTTCCTCTCTAACCTACACCAAAGCTCTCAGCTTGTTACCTGCCCTCCCGTGTCTGTGAACTCCACTAATTCATTAGACCACAGATGCTTACAGAACACCGAGCTAGGTCAGCTGGGGAAAGAGCAAGGTATAAGAAGGTCTGCTCTCATGAAGCTCACGTTGTTAGAGTTGTGAGCGGAAACGGAAGACGGACAATAAACAAGGAAGATGGGGTGTGTGCTACAAACTGCAGTGAGGCAGAAAAGACACAGACAGCAATCACGGGTAGAGAAGGAGCCCATCAAATGATCTGGGAAGGGTCTTTAACACTGAATCAGAGAGCTGAAGGTAGCACACGAGAGAGGGGTCAGAGGGAACCCTGCTTCCAGAAGAGATCAGCACGTGGCCCAATGAAGGTCAAGCTCAACAAGTGGAAAAAGGAAGCCTATGAGTGTGAGGAGGGGTGACGGTAAACTCCAGTGGCCCGTGTTCTTTCTTTCCGTCCTCTCAGTGGACATATTTCAGTGACTTTCTGGGCTCAGTGCCTGCAGAACCTAGCCAGGCAACCAGGGTGACAAAGCTCGGGCTACCACGGGCCTGTGCACTTAATCGTGTTCCCATAAAAGCAGTGCCTCCTTCAAGGTCAACAAAGGCAATCTGGGGCAGGAGCTGTCACTCACAGGCCTTCCACACGCAGAAGGTCAAAAGTTAACATCTGAATTTAACTGAATCCAGCATCTTCTTTAACTGCAAGTATTGTGGCTGGCTGTCCCTTGTTTGAAGGGAAGGATGTTTGGTTGGCTGTTGTTGTTTTAAAAACTAGGAATAGGGAAAAAGGAGGACACTTATTCCCCAGGGCAATCGGCAGACACAGGTAAGCCACAACTTGAAGCAGTCTCCTGACTTCGTTTAGCTGGTAAAAACTTGTACAGGCCTTTTAGCCCTTCACTTCTAAAACTCATGCATAGCTGGATTTGGTGGCATACACCTTTCTTCCCAGCATCTGGGTGGCAGAAGCAGGCAGATCTCTGTGAATTCAAGGCCAGCCTGATCTACAGAGTGAGTTCTGGGGCTCATAGTGAGACTCTGTTTCAAACAAACAAAACCAAAACCAAAAAGCATACATCCGTCTCCATGTTCCAGAAGGAGCAGAGCACTGAGCTGCGGTCCATTCTCCTGAAGTAGCCAACAGCAGAGGCATGGGTAGGAGCAGTTTCTTTTGACAGTATATAATCCCCTGGGCTTCACAGGGAACTACACATCAGTAACCCCAAATTAGGACCTGAAATCTGGGCATCCCTAAGAAAACAAGCTTCCCTGAGCTTCGCACAGGCATCATGAAACAAATATACTTTTAAGTGTCATTGCTACCTGGACTGAGGTTACAGCTATTGGAACAGTGATCGCCTTACCAGGCACAATGGGTCAGCTGTGAGTGACCCAGCTGCTTTCACATTGTACAAACTTACCAAGCTGTTGACGGTCAATACGTCACCTTGACAGAGCTAGAATCACCTAGGAGACCAATCTCTGGGCACACCTGTGAGGGCATTGCTAGATTAACTGAGGTCGGAAGAGCCACTCTGAATGCAGGTGGCACCCTTCCCTAGGTTGTACCCAAACTGCAAAGAAAGGAGCACAGCATTCGTCTCCCTCTGCTTCCTGACTGTGGATACAATGGGACCCATTGCCACAAGCGCCTGCGGCCTTTCCTTCCCCCAGGACGGACTATACACTCAGACTGTGAGCCAGAGTGAGGCCTGCCTTCCTTAGCTGCCTTTTCGGGCATTCTGCTACAGCAAACACAAGGGTGTGCATCACGTCTTAGTTTTCAACCTAAGAATTAAACAAAGACCAGGAATGGCAGCACACGCCTTTAATACCAGTAATTGGAAGTCAGGTGAAAGCAGACCCGAGTTCTAGGGCAGCCTAGTCAACATAGGCCAGCCAGAGCTACATAATGAGACCCAGTCTCAAAAAAGAAAAAAAACTAAATAAAGCCACCTTATGGAACAGGTTGTCTGGGCTTTCGTGTGCCTGCCTGCAAAGCTATTTACTCCCAATCATGTGGCCCTGTTTGGTTTCATTATGGGTTCGTCAGTCCTGGAAATCATCTGTCTTACTATAGTATCTGTAATCTCTCACCTTCCTGCCCCCAACAAAGTAAAGTCCCATGTAGTTAAGGGTTCTGTCTGCTTTGCTCATAACCAAGTCCAGGGCCTGGAGCAGACCTCCCTGCTAGTGTAGAAATGGCCAAAGACAGCCCTATAAAGGACACAGTATCAACCCAAAGTCAAAACAGTCAAGTTGAGGGCAGAAGTAAAAAATAATCAATGACATTAAGAATCAAAAATACATGTCTAATGTTAACCCCAGAGAGGGATGTTATTCTATGGGTAATTTCATGAAATCAGTTAGAGTTGTAGAAAGTGAGTCTTTTATCTTGGTCCACCCACCCGTTTGCTTGTTTGTTCGTTTGTTTTTTGTTTTTTCACAAGGCCTGGTACAAAAGAGATCTGAGACACTCGTGCTTGGGGAGCAAGTGTCCTTCCCCCTGGTCCTCTCCCAGCCCCACTGTCATCTTCTAAGCCTGAATGATAAATAATAATAAGTCCATAAAGTATATTATTACCCAGTGCAGGTAACAGGTCTTCTCACCCAGTCGGCTGGCCAGCCAGTCTCTCCCAAGGATTCCAAGGTTTCCATTTTGGATAGGGAAGATGATAACACACTTCAGCTAAATGGTCTATGTTTGGGGCTCCTCTGAACAATCATTTCCTAGTCTTCATGTTTCACTAGGCTCCGTGCTTCTCATCACTTCACATCTACTGAAACAGCACCACAGGTCTTGTTTTCTATCACCTCGCCTCGCCCTACTGTAGCAGGTATGGGTGATCTTAGACAAACCGCCATCCCTGTCATTTACCCGCCATACTGTCAAGTGCCTATTAAGAATATTACAGTAATAAGTATTAGCACCTCCTAAATTCCCATTAACAATAACAGAGAAACGGAATGTCAGGGAATGAAAAGGGGGAAAAAACCCGTTCTCTGGTGTCATAATTAGCCAAAGCTTAGAATAACTCAAAAGATCATTATTAGTAACTTTTCTTCCAGTTTTCTTAGTGTCCTATGCCTGCCTTGGTTAAAATACGACAATGTGCCTCTCATTGAACTAGGAAGGTTTTTTTTTTTCCCCTGAGGGAGGAGCAATCTAGAGAAAGTAGACCAGCAGTTACAGGACTTCTTTAAGCGTCAAGGCCAACTCAGTGTCCCCGCCATCCCCCAAGAACTCCGGCTACTGAGAAGCTTGCCACCTGTAGAAGGTAAACCGGGTCAGCGTGGCGCTGGTCAGAGTCCAGCACTGATAACTCAAGTCTCCATGTGGCGTGAACAGAGTAGGCAGGGTCTGAGAAGTTTTGACACAGGCCATTCACAGGAGAGAGAAGAGGAACCCACTCCCACTTTTTCCTCCTGGACCCCTGCATTGCCCCAGAGAGGAGCACACAGCGGCTGCGCAAGCAACAACCTGCAGAGTTCACTCTGGCAGGTGAGCAGCCCCTGGAGCCGCTGTTTTTCTGGCGTGTGGAGCACGTGGTTGGCCTGGCGACCTTCAAGCTTAGCGAGGCCCCCAAGGCTGAGCCAGGAAAGGACTGGAAAAGCTCTGGATTCCAACGGTGCGAGCAACTTTCGCAACCCGGTGTCAGCGCGGGGTTCCAGCGCCCACGCGGCCCGGGGCCGCGGAGGGGACCCGGTCGTCGTGGGATGTGCACTCTGGCCCCCGCGGTCTCCGCGACCTCCCGTGGGGAGTGGGCCGGGTCCTGCTACACCAGGGACCAGCGGCGCCGCGGGGAGCACGGGGTTCGCGAGGGATCGCACGGGGCGAAGAAGCCGCCGAGCAGAGGAACCACAGCGGGTGGCTCGCGTCGTCCCAGCCACGCTCACCTGGGACCTGACCGCCAGGAGCCGCGGCCGCAGCGCTTGCTCTCGCAGAAGCTTGCCGGCCTGTACCGCGATGGCCACCGGGGACGCCATCTTAACCAGGAACCTGTGGAGAGGCCGCGAGGGCGGAGGGAGAGGGTGGGGAGAGGGAGGGAGTGAGGTCTGGCGGAGGCGGCAGGCGGAGGCGGGTCGAGGAGAGGAGGGGAGGGGAGGGGAGGGGGGGGGGGGGGGGGGGGGGGGAGGGGAGGGGCGGGCCGAGGAGGGGAGGGGAGGGGCGGGGCGGGCTAGGGAAGGGAGGAGGAAGGAGGAGGTCAGAGGGAGCAAGCGGGGTGAGGGAATTGAGGAGGGGAAGGATTGAGAATGGCTGGAGGGTAGAGGAACCCACCCACGTCCTCCCACCACCACCACCACCCCACTGGAGGCCGTGGGGCTTCCCAGAGCTTACAACATCTTGCCTGACTTCCAGGCAAAAACTGATCTCAGCCCCAGGGACACTGACTTAAACTGGCCCTGGGAATGACAGATTAGAGATTGTTTCTGGGCAGTGAGGGCCCCTAGGTCTGGCCCTAGGAACTGATACTATTATCAAAGGACACCTCCTGGAGAAAGGAATGTTCCAAGGGAAGGAATTAGGACCGGTGCTGCCCATGGGCCCTCTAGGGCAGATGAAGCTGCTGAAGTTTGAGGGGAGGTAGGTAATTTGTTGTTTTAGGTGATAGTGACTTGTTTAGTTTTGGTTTTTGAGATAGGGTTTCAAATACTTTTCTTGTACCAGAAATTCACCTAGAACTCTTGACCCTGCCTCTACTTCCCAAATGTGATGGCTATGGAGAGGCACCACCCTGTCGCTCTTGTGAAAGTAATGGAGGTTTCCAGGCCTGTCTTAGAGACTTGTGCGTTCTTGCAGGTTAACCTTGAATTAATGAAAAGCTATCGCCAGATTTCCTACTCAATTATGAGGAAAGTGTTTGTTTAGACTGGCTACGATGCACTTACATAAACTAAAAATCACAATAACAGCCGCTGTGTGCCAAGCACTGAACAGTGATGAACCCATTTAATCTTTGTGGCAATCTAAACAGGTGAAGTTTCTATACTTATTTTGCAGAAGAGGAAACTGAGGTACACAATGGATTAAAAAACTTAGCAGAAGCAGGTGATTGAGAAGTACATATGAAACTCAAATTCATGCTTCAACCCCCAGTACTACCTGAGGATATTTTTAGTCGGGTTTTCCAAACCTTCCTCATTCTTGCATATGTGATCATGAGACAGAGAGATCGGAGACATTATAGCAACTCTGCACTCACAATAGTGTCTTCTGTCCTCTTCCTTTAAACTCATATTTGGTATAATTTCACATTGACAGAGAAACTGCAGGAACATTACTCCAAAAGGCCCCAAATGTCTTTATGCAGCATCACCCAGGAGTTACATATTGGCCTGTAACTGTCCTTGATAACCCATTCCTCCTCATTTATTCTGTCTTCGTCTATTCTCTCTCTCTCTTTGTGTGTGTGTGTGTGTGTTGTATGTATCTCATGTGGCCAGGAAGCCACCTGTGCCTTGCTCTTTGCCATCTCATTCTCTAGAGACAAAAATATCTCTGAACTAGTATAGCAGCCAGCAAAACCCAGTGATCTTGTCTTTGCAGGCACCAGCACCGGACTTACAGTGGAATGGCTACAGATGGACTTTTACATGGGTCCTGGGGATCTGACTTCAATACCCATGCTTGCACAGCAAGCGGTCTTGCCCACTGAGCCATTTTTCCCCCCAAGTTCAAGTGTCTGTTGATTGTTACAGTTTGAATCCGTGATAGCCACACCACCATGAATACATTGATTTTGTCCAAGTCTATGGAATTTTGTTAAATCGACTCTTTGCCTTTCCCCATGACTTAACCATTTGTATCAATATTATTAATGGATTGGGGCCATTATTTGCAAAACAAACAAAAATGGGGTAAGTTACATCTTTTGAGTAAAAACCTCAGAGCAGAATGAGTTGGTATAGCTGTGAGCATCTGCATGTGCTGAGGGAGGTCTTCAAAGAATGAGAACACCAGGAATGTCAGGCCGAGCGGGATAAGAATTTGGGTCAGTATTCCAAAGAGAGCAAGGGGACACAGCAGCAGCTGCCTGAGGGGAGAAGTTTATGGGATGCACCTCATTATAACGATCTCATTAAGGGATAATTAGTCTTCCCATCTCTTTGTCATTTCTTCAGCATGTATCAGCTTTACTGGGGCAGGGGTGGAGATAGTCTGCTGCCCATGTGGTTGGCAAACCCTACTGAACAAACTCTTAAGGAAGTTTTGGACAGTTTCGGTAGCCATTTCTCTACCCCAGGCTAGAAGTACAACTCAGATTTTGTGTGTGTGTGTGTGTGTGTGTGTGTGTGTGTGTGTGTGTATTGCTAGGAAGAAATAGTTTTTCCTTAATGGGATGCAGCAAAACCCTGATACTAACATCATCTCCCCCCTTTCCCTATGGTATTTGAAATATTAAGGAAGAGCAATGTGATGGTTCCTTTCTTCAAAATTAGTGTGTTAAAGGAAAGGGTCCAAAACTGAGCATAAAGGGGAGATTCCATCCTCTATGTTCTCCAAGCTAAGCTATCTAACACAGAAGCCAGGCTTACATATACAATCATACACATAGCTGCTTGTGGCTGTCGTTTAATTCTCATGGGAACCCTGATAAGGAGGCCCTCCTATAGTCCAACTGTGCTGGGCAGCAGAGAGTTCCTCACCTCATGGCATTTAAAGTTCTCCATACTTCTTAATTCTCCCAGGGTCACACAGCTGGGGACCAGACTCCCCGAAGCTGAAGTATCACCCCTGTCCTTCACAGCATCCTCTTGACCTGAGTGGATTTGAATTTTCTTCTCATTTGCCATTAACGGTTGACAGTTTACTAAGTCAGGGCAGAGTTCGTGATCACATGATTGCAGAGTAATGAGCAAAGACAGCAGAAAAGGGACACGCAAACAAAGTAAAGAAACAAGTACCTGGGGCTGGGAGAGAACTCAAAAAACAATTGCCCAATAGCTCTTGGTCAGAGGTCCTTTTATGTTCTGGAAACAGACCAATTTGGTAGCCCCGGGTATGTAAAGTAGACATCCAGTCAGGATGAACCTGACTGACTAATTTGGCCATGCATGAGGGAATTGTACTTGGTCAAGAGATTAAATACACAGAGACTCTGAGAAAAAGCCTAAAAACAAGAAGAGTGGGGAGCCCATCAAAAAGTCCTCAGCTGAAGAAGGATGTAAAAAGAGCAAAGATCAATGGGTAACTGAAATCTAAGTAAAACAGAACCTCCTGAATTTCTGTTTCATGCACTGATTATGCTAAGTTGACCGTGAAACCTCAGTATTTTCAGAGCTGACTACCAGTCCCACCAGGATTTACAACACTGTTGTTTTTCTTGGGCATGTAACCCTATAGAATAGGGGTTCCCTTGCTTCTGATTGCTGCCATTACTCTTATTGGTCCATTATCTCAGTGAGAATGAATCCAAGATCCTTTTTAATGGGGTATCAGGATGTGTCTCAGTGGGTAGAGTGCTGGTACAGCATACACGGAAGCTGTGGACTTGATGCTCAGGACTGCATAAAACCAACCATGGCACCTGGCGGCATATACCTTTAATCCCAGAGCCTTGGAGCTGAAGGCAGAAGAATCAGAAATTCAAGGTCATTCACTGTTAGTAGAAAGCTCAAGGCTAACCTGGGATACAAGAGACTTTGTCTCCAAAAACAAAATAACAAAAGTATCCCAAAACGAATGCTTAAGCTTTGTGAGAATTTTGAACATGCTGCCAGAATTACCAACAGCCAATTTAATGTGTCATTGCTAGGCTAGGAAGCTGGGGAGAAAAGGGACAGGGGATACAGCTGAGGTCGGTGTGTGTGTGTGTATGAGTGTGTGTATTAGTTTCTTTCTTTTGCTATGATAAAAAAAAAAACATAGCCAAAGACAACTTGAGGAAGAAAGTGTGTACTGGCTGGTTTTATGTCAACTTGACACAAGCTAGAGTCATCAGAGAGGAAGGAGCCTCAGTTGAAGAAATGTCTCCATGAGATCCAGCTATAAAGCATTTTCTCATTTAGTGATCGATCAGGGAGGATGCAGTCCATGGTGGGTGGTACCATCCCTGGGCTGGTGGCCCTGAGTTGGTTAAGAAAGCAGCCTGAGCAAGCAAGGGGAAGTAAAGACTACCACACTAAAGTGCCTGTGTACTAGTTTACCCAGGCGGATGGCAGGCACCTCAGCAGCAAGAAACACAAGGTACTCTGACCAGTCCCCTACATCCCAGGGGTAAATGAAGTTATAGCCCTCCAGAATGCCATAGAAACATGTTGCCCGACATCTTGATATCCATCCTCCAACTGCAGGCCAAGCTGTCAGACAGCAGCGGTACCAGCGGAAGCCACCAGGTCCCCTGAACATCACTGCTTCTTCCCCAGGCTTTCCTACATGGCCGTCTCACTTCTCTTCCTTCCTTCTTTTTCCTTCCTTCCTCTTTCTTCTCCTAGGGCTGTCAGAATGGCTATCCCACAACCTGTGTGATCCCTTAGAGATCAATCCTCACCTCAGACTCAATCTGTTACTCTAGGGAGAGTGCCAAGACACCAAGAAATCCAGCTGTCACCCACAGTGTCCCAATGTCCCTCTATTATGATTTTGAGATCAATCCTTCCGTGGGCCACGGGCTCCTGTCAGTCTCTTAGGACAAGAGAACAGGGTTTAGAGTCTGGGGTCTGTTGCAGTGGCCCCAAAGCCCAAAGATCAAGTCACAAGTGCCAGACAGCACAGCCTCTGAAGGGGAGACTGGGCCCAAATAGTGTTTTACGGCTCCATCACTGGGCTTGGTGCTAGAGACTGTGGGTCAGTTTTAAGTAGTGGAATTGGTCCTTCTCAGGACTCCTGGTTAACTACACTCTGAAGGTCCCTCCTACTGTCTCTGTTAGCAATGCCCTGTACTTCTGTTTTGTCATATTCAAACTGCTTTCAACACATGCCCCCACTCCCCGTTCAGTTCATTTAACATATGCATGTTTTTCCTTGAGGGAGTAGATTTGGTCTCCCGTTTGGTATGACATTTCTTTGAGCACCAAATCTAATCTGAAAAGAAAGAAATGGCAGGGGGAAATGGAAGGAAGGAAGGGAAGGAAGGAAGGAAGGAAGGAAGGAAGGAAGGAAGGAAGGAAGGAAGGAAGGCATAGCCATTCATACAGGTAAGCCTCATCTCATGACCTTGCAATCCAGTAGCCCTGACCTCTCCCACACCTCAAAATGAACTGGGTGATGGGAAAATTTGACCAAAGAATGGAAGCTTAAACTACAATACCATTCTACAGCTGATCTAAAGGGTGTTGTGTATGAGCCTTCATGGTCCCCTACCAGGATAAGATCGATAAAAAGGAGAACCAAAGGGGGCATCTTTGAGGTGGGATCAGACTGAAGCATAGACATATGCATCAGGCAAGCCATGAACAGCTTCACTGTGACTCAAAGCCTTCCTAACTGCGGGTGGGTCCATTCTTTGTGAAAGGGACTATTAGGCTGATGAAACACTGCCTAAGAGTGTGCTTGAGATCCCAGAGGTTGATGTTTGCCAGGCTTTAAAGTTCTCTGTGTGTCTGCTTCTTTAGTTTATACATCCATGAGCCTTAGTTTCCCCATCAGTGCTGTGCAGACAGCTTCCTAGAACAGGGAGTTCACACTGGGGTACGTCTCATAAACTCTGCACACCTCCAAAGTATTAGATTCCAAAGGCCCACTTTGCAGTTAGAACAGTCTGCCTACACTTCCTTATTCTTTTGAGGGAAATAAAAACAACAGTAGGCCATAGCCTTCCCTTTCATCTCAGCCGGCTATGCTGACAGTGAAATGATGTGTTCATTTTCATATCCACGCTGATTACTCCGGGGCCCCCACTTTGCTAAAGGCACATGTCATGCAGCATTGCAAAGGGTTGCTGCACCCAGCAGTTGCAGTGGCTGCTTACCATTACCTTTTTATTTAAGCGTAAAAGCCATTTGACAAATACAAACTCATTATAACCAGCAGAGCTGAATGCAATTTTTAAAGAAACAGTGCTAATTTTCATGAATTACATATTTGAGCCCATGCTGCTGCATGTCAGGGATGAAGATTACCGTTGCACTGATGAAAGGAAGGGCATTCGTGAGTTTCCTTTGGTTGTTTCTATTTTAATGGGTAACAGATTTCTTGAATTCACAGACAGGCAATGTCACTGATGCAATTTGCGACACCCACTTTAACCAAGGTTTCGCTGGTGTCATTTGCCAATGGTACACAAAAAGGCTTCCTCTGTGGGGAAGATAATTCTGCCTCTTAAACAGTCTATTAAAATGATTCCTTTGGGAGTGGAAGAGGGTATTTCTCAGTGTAGATTATTGACAGGATGAATGGGACTCTGGATGTGACCTCTGGCTTTGACAGAAGGAGAAAAACGAAAGCAATTTTGATCGCTTTTTCCACCAGTTTATTTAAATAAGAATGTGCATAGAAGGGATCTAAAACTAAAAGTGCCCCCTCTTTTAAAACTGCTGCGAGCTCAAGAGAAATCCTTAAGTTCTGGAGAGAACTCGAGGGACAGGAGTTACAGAGTAAGGAAAAAGGCAGCGAGTGTCATTTACTCTCAGGAGCTACAGCTGAGGACAAGGGCAACAAAAATCTGGAAGTGGGGAATGAGGTAGCATTGGGTGTGGTTTCATGTCAGGGAGTGTGGAGATCAGTGACAAAGATGGTGGAATTTGGTGCAGAATGATTCCACAAAGGACTGGGCGGGGACAGGGGACAGAAAGAAGAGAGTGGCACCTGGTCG